CCTGGGGATGCTCCCAGAGGCTCCAGCCTTGCATTTCCCGGGGCTGCAAAAGCAGGATGAAACAGGGAGCAGGCAGGCAAGGACACCACCAGCCGCCTCCAACCCCGCTGAGAGGCGGAGGGGAGATGCTGCAGAGCGGCCGAGGGACACGTTGCCCTCACCGAGGCCCTGGGGCAGCTCACGGATGGTGGTGGATGAACGTGGAACCCAACAAACATCTTCCTGCGCGCAAGGCGCCTGCATGCAGAGCGGCTGCTGGAGAGGAGGCAGCAACTTCACACCCCCGGCAGCTCCAAAGCCGCCCTCTCACCCATCCAGCAGCTTGGGCGGTGCTGCAGGGTGACGAGAGCGTGCTGGATGCGCTGCGCGAGCCCGGGCTATCTCTCGTGCTCATCGGCTTCTGGCTTCTTTAAAGAAACGAGATAAAATCAGAAAGCCAAGGAAAAGGCGCTGTGGTGTGCAACCAGCCTGGGCGGCCGGGCTTTGCGTGCTGCTCCACTTCACGTGGCTTCTGCTGCTGCTGCTGTCAAGGGAGAAGGTGCCAACTCTTGAGAGAAGCAGACAGGAGGCAGCCGTCCTCAGCGCAACCTGCTGCTGTTGGAAGCTGCAGGGCCTTTTCTCCACGGGCCATGCCTGCAGGACTTTGTGCTGGTTTCAGGGGCAAAGCCAGCTACTTGCAACGTGCAAACCTCGCAGCATCACAGCGTCACCGTCAGCACTTCCCCAGGGTAAGCACAGGACCTCGTGGGACATATGAGGAAAAGCCCCTGCTGGGTTTTCCAGCAAAGGTGGCAAGAGTGTGTGGGCAGGTTGCCGCGAGCAGGCCAGGCACGTGGCCTCGATGGCCAGGCAAGGACAGCGGCCCCGGGGTGCCAGGGCTTCACTAGCCTTGCCGAGTAGAGGTGAACCCAGAGGGGCAGCTGGGGAAGCGAGTGTTTCAGGAAAATCCCTGGGGAAGGGGGACGGCTGGCATTTTGGAGGCAGGGTGGTGGTGGGGAAGCCAGGGTGCCAGGCAGGAAGGAGGGCCCAGGCCATGGGGTGTCCAGGTAGAGGGATGGGGGAAAAAAGAAAGAAAAAAACCCCCAAAACATAACCCAAAAAACAAAGGCTGTCCTATGCCCCAGCCTGCTTCCAGCCCCTGTGAGGAGAGGGGCTCTCTGGAGGATTTTCCCCCTCTGCTGCCCCCCACGGCTTTCCCCTCTGCTCCCAGCACTGCTGGGCTGCTCTTGCCCTCGCTTCTGCCCACAGCCACGCACACTCCTCGTGGTGTCCTGGCTCAGGCCCTGCTGCTGGTGTGAACCAAGCCCTTGGGGCTCATACACCAACAGGAGCATTCCCTGCCCCTGCTCCCTGAGAGCAGTTTTGGGTTCTGGGAACAGTCTGGAGGTCCCAGCCCTGTCCCCCCAACCACCCAGGTCCTGCTCAGGGCAGGGAGAGCCCCCAGCCAGGACACAGGGAGGGGCAAGGGAGTGCACAGGGACCCCTTCTCCCTTTGCAATTTGGGGACAGCACCGGCAGCGCAAACTTGATCTGCGGCTCTGCGAGAAGCCCAGGGCTGGTGGCTTTGCTCTGCCACCTGCTGGGGACAGGACAAGTTGGGGGACAGGGCAGAACTGTGCAGGGATGCAACCACAGAGAGGTGTGTGCAGCTGCGGGGCAGAACCACCCCTGACTGACAGACATGGCTCGGGTTTTATTTTCCAATAAAGAAACAAGCTAAACCCTCCCGGGTGCTGGTGGCACCAGGTTCCTGGGTGGGACAGGGGCTGCTGTGCCCTGTGACAAGCAGCCCAGGGAGCAGAATCCAGCTGTATGGGCACAGGCTGCCCCCAACGCCCACTTGGAGCGGCAGGATCCCGGGATGGATGCTCCTACACACCTCCCCACAGCTTCGCTCATTCACAGGGCTCCCAGCTGCATCCAGCAGTGTCCCAGGAACGGGTCAGGCTGCAGCTTTTCCCTGCCTCTGCCTGCTCACTCCATGGCCACGGGCTGCTGCCCCTCCACGTCCCTTGTCTTGGAGTTCACCAGCTCCCTCCGGATCTCTGGCGAGATCTGCGGATGGCTGTGGAACTTGAGCAGCTCAAGCAAAGCCTCCTTCTGCTCCGAGGAGAGGTCCTCCTTGTAGCGCTGGGCAAAGGCCAGGAAGCTCTGGTGCCACAAAACGGGCAGGACCCGCTGGTCCGTGCGGAAGGCCAGGAAGTGGAAGACGAGGGCATCCACTACGCGGAAGGGCAGGGCGTACTTCTTGTCGATGAGCAGCCGGAGGAAGATGCTGTTGGCACCACTGTACTGCATCTCGGCGATCTTCAGCATGGCCGCGCTGTGGGGACAGAGGGAGCACTGAGGTGAGGGCAGGCCAGGCAGGAGCCACGGGGCACCAGGCACCCAGATGGAAAGATGACAAACCCAGCACTGAGCCTTGAATCTCAACCCCAGAGGGAGCAGAGCAAACCCCCCCACCTCCGAGATGCCGGAGAGGCTGAAGGACAGATAGGAGGCGTTGCACTGGTGTCCCTAAAGGAGAACCTCTGACCCCCTCCAGCCTCCCAGCGCATTACCTGGAGTGGAGAACGGGGATGGAGCACTTGGTGAGGATGCTGCCGATGATGATTGCCTCCCGCAGCGTGCAGGTCCCCGACTCGCACAGGGGGATGAGGATCCCTGTGGAGGAGGAAGAGTCAGGCACCGCCTTTCTCAATCGCAGCAGGCAGAACCCTGTGATTAAGCCCCCTTCTCCTATCCCAGGACACATCTGACCCCAGGAAATAACAGCTCCTCCAGTAGCTGCTGTTACAGGGGTCGCAGCATCTCCCTGCCACGCAACCAGCCCTGAACCACCTCAGGGTGCCAGACAAGACGAATATCACTCGAGACAGTTCGTAAACTGCCATCAACCTCCAGAACCCCCCAATACCTGCTAGCACTCGCTGGCAGCGCCTGCGTAAGCCTACGGGCACTCATCACCCTTCCACCCTGAACCCCGCCAACAGGCCCCTGGGGGTTTGGAAGCCGCTTTGTCCACCGAGTGGAACTCCCTGTGTGTCTTTCAGGTCTTCTCCTCCCCACTGAGCCCCCAGGGCCACACCACGCAGGGGAGAGTGTCCTGTCACACTGGGCAGTGATGTGCAACACACACACCCACTGAGCTTCCCAGATGGCAAGAGGCTCCCAGGTAGGAAGGGCAGCTCTGCAGGGAGTCCCTACCTTTGAACCAGGCTGCCGGCTTGAACAGAGCCTTCTTCAAAGCCATGTAGAGGTGAAAATTGAGGCGCTTATACTCAGCAATGTCATCCCTGACCCGTGGCAGCAGCACCAGGTTGTAGAACCGCTGGGCCATCCTCTCTTTCAGGTTGGATGAAAATATCCTGGGAAAAGCAAAGCACAAAGTGAGGGGTGGAGAAAAGAGGCCAAGCAGGGGACAGGCTGGTATTTTGTAAATCTGGTTCCAGTTATGGAAAGAAAGAGCAAAAAAATCCCACGTCAGCAGCTCCCAGAGCTGACCTCACCTGGTGGCTTGGTACATGGCAGCTGCTGTCCACGTCTCCGGCTCTGTGATGTAGAGGATCTGCTCCCAGTTGGACAAGGCAGGAATGATTTTAAATGCCTTGGGGAGTTTCCCGCTCCTGTATTTGGACAGCACCTTAAAAGACAAGGATACAGGCCAGGCCATGACATATGGGCACTGACAGCAGGGCTGCGGGACTTGTCCCATGACCACGAGAAAGTCTTCCCCTTCCTTAGCATCTCTAGCAAGGAAGGACCATCCCAGGTCCTGAGATGGGACCATCCCAGGACCACCCCGAGCACGCTGCTCAGGAGACTGTCGCTCAGAAACTCTCTAGGCCCTTCAGTGGCCGATACTACACAAACTGCAGTTAATCCACAGAAGCGCCTGCGCAGAGCGAGGATGGGGACAACCTCTCTGAGGCAGAGTGGGCGCAGAGGCGGTGGCCGTGGCGCTCAGCAGCTTTGCCCTTACCTCTCTGACACCCCTGTAAACCTCCAGGACACGGGGATCCAGCTGGGGCATGGGGCAGCCCGATAACTCCGACAGCGCAGTCTCCACCTCCGTCTGCTTCTCCGTGATCTTCTCCATGATGATGTCCGCCAGTGTGCGCCTGGGCCCAGTGTGGGAAGGGCGCGAGTCAGGGGCCGGACTGGGAGGAAGCGGCAGCCGCCACCACCGCCGCTCCGGCCCCTTCTCCCACCGCATCCTCACCTCAGCGGCGGGTTCTTGTTCATGAACATCTCGATGGCTTTCTCGTCCTCGGGGTCCACCACCACCTCCCCGCAATACTCCCCGCTCCGTCCTGCCGCCACCGCCTTCTCCAACGAAGGCCACTCCTCATCATCCTCCGAGTCCGAGCCGGGCACCGCCGGGCCTGCGAAGGGAGAAACGCTGGCTGAGCCTCGCACCCTTCGACGCCCGGGGAAGGGTTGGGGGCGAACCGGGGGACCGGGGGGGGTCTCACCCAGGGCCGTGCTGCGCTGCCTGGGGGCGGCGGGGGCGCCGGGGCCGTGCTCGGCCTCCAGCTCCTCCTGCTGCCGCCGCGCCTGCTCCAGGATGCGCCGGGAGAGCCGCGCGTCCACATAGCCTTCCTCCTCCTCCTCCTCCTTGGCCTCGGCCTGGCCGCCGCGTCCCTTCCCCCGCACCGTGGGCCGCGGGGCCGCCTCCTGGAGAATCTGTTCGGCCAGCGGCAGCATGGAACCGGGACCGGGGCCCCGCGTCCGCCGGGCCTTGGGCATGGTGGCGGGGTCTGAGAGACGCTGACCGGCCTCGGAGGGACGGGGACGGGGACGGGGACCGGGACCCGAACTGCCGCTGCCGTCCGCTCCGCCACCGGCCGCGCGTGCGCTTTGTCCCCGCCCCTTCCGGCGGCAACGTCGTCCCCGCCTCTTCCGCCGGTGCTTCCGTCCCGGCGGGGCGGGCGGGCGCAGGATGGGGGTCACCTGGTAAGGACGGGAAAGGAGGAGGAGGGAAGGGGGGAGATCGCGGTGAGGGGCTCCCGGGGGGCGGGAGGGGAGCCGGGAGAAGCCGCCGGTGGGTCCCGGTTGCCCCTCTTGACTTCCCCGTCCCGGTGCCCAGCGTGGCGCAGGTGCCGGTGGCGGAGGGGAAGAGCCTGCAGCAGACGGTGGAGATCCTGACGCGGAAACTGGAGCTGCTGGGGGCCGAGAAGCAGGGAACCTTCTGCGTGGACTGCGAGACTTACCACACCGCCGCTTCCACCATCAGCAGCCAAGGTCAGCCCCGGGAGAGCCCCGGGGGGGTCCGGGTCCGGGTCCGGGGGTGCCGTCAGCCGGCCCGCAGCTCTTTCTTCTCCCGGTGCCCTTTCCAGCTCCTTAACGTGGCGCCCGGGGGGTGAACCCCGGTGACAGGAGGGTCTCCCGTGGAAGGAGCGTCTGCTGTGGGTGAGGCCACGGCTTGGACCGGGACCGGGACGGTCGGGGCTTCTCCCGCAGGTCGTGGCTGTTTGATTTATCGTGGTGGGGAACGAGCAGCCATCTCGCCGCCCGCAGAATGTCTTCTCCGCCCGCAGGAGGTGCCTGTTGCGGTTGCCGTCGGCCTTTTCTCTTCTCTGGGAGAAGGAGCGTCCCTGTACGGGGTCCCGGCGGAGCTGGGGAGGGTCGGCATGGGGCACGGACCGGCCTGCCGTGGCCGATGCTCTCTGCCCGGTAGCAGACACCCGGCCGTGCCCGTTCTTCCCGCTCCTTAGCACCGTTTTTCCCTCTCCCTGCGTGTCCCCGCGTTGCCCTGCCCTGGGGATGGCCCTGTCGCGGTGGGGAGCCCTGCCTTGAGGATTCCTGCTCCAGCCTCAGCAGCCGTGTCGGGTTATCTTTGCTGTCAGCGTTATTTTTCCGTGAAACTTCAAATGCTGTTTCTGTTTGAGTCGCTTTGGAGGCCACGTTTTGGTCCGGAGAGGATGGGCGCGAGTCTCCTGGCAGCATCTGCCCGTCTCCGAGGGGCAGTCACTGGAGGGCAGGCGGTGGCAGCCAGCCTGCAAGCTGGAGGGGGGAGCGGAGCTGAGCACCGGCTCCCGGGACAGTAGGGAGCAGCTCTAAGGGCTTCTGAGGCATGAGGTGACCCAGGTCTTTCCAGGGGATGTGCTCAGAGGACCCCAAATCCCCTCTTGACATAGCAGGGCCTAAAACTGCTCAGAGGTACGGCGTGGCGTGCTCACCTGAGGGGCTGTTCCAGTCTCTTTATCCCTCCTAAGCGCCCCTCGATTTTCACATCATTTAAAAACGCTAAGGCAAACATCGCCGCTGTCTCTGCGGCTGCCTTGGGGCTCGGCTCCGCCAGTTTGCCCAGACAGATCTATTTGAAGCTACCAGAGCGGCTTTTTGCTGCTTTTTTTGCAGCTGGAACTTGCACGGCCACATCCCTGGAAAGGCTTTTTTGATCTATGTGGATAAACGAGAATTGTTTCCAGCTTTTAAAGCATGATATAAGCCAGGGCACCCTGTTTTCCAGAGCGTGTCTCAACACGTCCTCCCCAGGCAGGACTGGTGGGTGAGGGGGAAGAGAGGCAAAGCCCAGCCTTCCTCCTGTGACCGTGGGCAGGACAGTCAGCAGATGCCCAGCCCCATGTTTGGGGATGGGAGGTGGGTGCTCTTTGCTGACCCCCTTGCCCCAGCCTGCTGGGGATCTCGCGTCCAGCTCACTCTCTGGTCTCTGAGTTGTGCTGGCAGAAGATTTTTTTTTTTCCCCTTTAACTTTAAATCTTAAGAAGGAGACACAATCTATTCCCTGAACAGCCGGATAACATAAAGCATGTATGAGTGGTACAAGGACCCTGGAATAAAAGCAACAAGGAGGACAAAGGAAAAAACAGATGCTTCTTTTTTTAAAAGCACATACAAGCGCAGGACTGTTGGTTTTACAGCCCAAATACCATTGCTCTTATTTCAGGGCAGACAGGCAAGCTGATGTACGTGATGCACAACTCCGAATATCCCCTCAGCTGCTTTGCTCTCTTTGAAAACGGTCCCTGCCTCATAGCAGATGCCAACTTTGATATCCTTATGGTGAAGTTGAAAGGCTTCTTCCAAAACGCCAAGGCGAACAAGATAGAGAGCCGGGGCACCCGCTACCAGTACTGTGACTTCTTGGTGAAGGTGGGCACAGTTACGATGGGGCCCAGTGCCCGTGGGATATCTGTGGAGGTAAGAATTGTCTTTGAAGGGTATGAAATACAACTACAGACAGGGAAATCCCATTTTGGAGGTTAGAGAAGAAATCCCCCATCCTTTCTGTGTCTCGATCGCATTGCTTGTTGCTGGTAGTTTGTCCTAGATGCGTTCATGTATGCAGCAGGCAGGGTATTTATCTCCTTTTCACAACAAGGTTTAATTCAGGCAGGTACTTTGGGGCTCAGCTGCAGCTATGGAAAAGCCTGTCATTGAAGTGCCAATAAACAAAACCCTGAAGGGATGCTATCAAACTAAAAAGCTGCTTAAAGTCCTGATGCACAACACTAGTAGCGTACTTCAGGTTAATAAGCGTACCAAGGGGGACAACACAACCTCTTCAGCTGCTAATTTGATGCTGATTTGGGTTTTGCTTGCTTTCTCCATCTCGAGCAGACACAGCCCCAGGAGAGCAGGGCCCTCTTGTCCCAGGTTCTGCTCACGCAGTGTAGAGATGGTCTTCTCCTCACCAGAGTGCTTTTGGCAGGCGTCAGTCCTACCCTGTGGCGTGCCAACCTGGATTGCTGCACCGTGGGCTTGAAGCCTGCCATCAAACAGCTTCCGCTCTTTCTGCTCAGTGCTGTGACTGCTGATGAGGCTCGAGAGCATCGGCTGCCAGCTGCTGACGGGTGTTTCATGGGGTGGAGGCTGGGCTGAAGCAAATTCTAAAGGAAGATCCTTCAGTGTACACGAAGGGGCATGGGAGGATCTAGGAAGGCATTTGGGGAGATGCTTGGCTGAATACAAGTGTGAGTCGAAGGCTCACAAGCTGTGGACAAGCCTCAGCTGGGCTGAAAAACATCTTGGAAAAGACAAGGAGCTGGGCTGCGCTGGTATGGGAAGGGCAAAGGTCAGACTCCAGACATCTAGAAATATTGGTGCCGAACAGTCTTCAAGATAGCTGAGAATTAGATGCTTAGAGGTCTTTCAAAATCAGAGCTTATGCTTTTTCTAAACACACAAATCCTATTATCTGATATACAATTAATCAGGCAGGCGTTCCTAGCCAGCAGGGATGAGGATTGAGAAATGGCTTATTTCTTCACTGCAATAAACACAGATGTTGTAGCATCAGCGTTGCTATTGACCTGGGGTTAAACAGAAGCTTTTTTTACCCTAAACTTGAGTTCAGGACCAGATTTGCCAGGTGGTCTGGCTGCTTCTGGTTTGGTGTAGTAGTTTTTTTCAAGGTTTGCATTAGGACCTACTCCTGATTTGGGACCAGACTCATATTTAGTAAAACGCTTTAAGTCCTTAAGTCCCAAGGCTTTTTCCAGTACATTCCTGAGAGATGTCACAGCCACACGAGTTGTTGACTTACCGGCATGTGGGAGTGAAGTTTGGTTTTGGGTGGGATAAAGTTAATGTGGCGTTTGAACCAATGTCCCCAAGACATGTCCCAATCCCCACTATTGGGGATTTAATAAAAGCAGTGCCCTTACAGGGTACATTTTACCTCCCCTTCCTTTTTGAAGGGATTGCTTGCATGTTCCCAGCGTGTCCTGTTCATTTATATTTGTCCATCCTTGTTATATGCTAAATATTCTCAGATGTTTTTTATGAAAAGCATTCTCTTTCTAGCAAGGTAGAGGGAGGAAAGCGCGTTGCCTCCTGCGTGGTTATTGTCCCTGCTGCGAGCTTCAGGGCTGTGGTTTCTGTTGCCAGGTGGAGTACTGCCCCTGCGTGATAGCTAACGACTGCTGGAACCTGCTCATGGAGTTCATGCAGAGCTTCATGGGGAACCACACTCCCGGCATCCCGTCCGTGTTTGGCACCAAGCACGACAGCATCTACAGCCCAGCAGACACGATGGTTCAGTATATGGAGCTGTTCAACAAAATCCGCAAGCAGCAGCAGGTGCCTGTAGCGGGGATCAGATGAAAGGACTCCCTGGAGCCTGGTTTAGAGCAACTGCATCCTCTTTTCTACCTGCCCATCTGGATCAGGATTCCCTCCAAAAAGTGGCACTGGCGGCAGCCCAAGGTTGTTCTTTTTTTTTTCTCAATCTCTTTCCCATGTTTCAAAGCAAAGGTCTTGAATGCTACGTGTATTTCTTGTTGTCCTCCTTCATGGTTTTGAGCGTGTCTGGGATCAGCCCTGTGGTTCTGATGGTTCTTTGTACAGTGCTTCGTGCAGGGGATTACTGCTTGTTGGCAGGAGGGAAAAGGAGAAATTCCAACCAAATGCATGCAAGGGCAGAGTTTCCTTGACTGCGAACAGCTACATGAGAGATTTTTTTTTAAATTTTTTTTGGATACCCATGTGAAAGTGTCTTGTTATTTTTCATCAAAATAAAAAGCTGTATTTTGTGAGGAGATGGAGTCTTTCTGCACAGCAAGTGTTGTGCTGTTTTGTATTGTTTATTTACAGCTTTTGAAATTTTCTGTTGCGTGGAGACAATTATTCAGCAGAGTTTTATCTTTGATTTGGTGCAAGAGCTTTATACCCCTGAAGCAAACTAATTTCCCTGTAGCAAAATCTACAGGAATTCTTGCATTCCTATTATGGGTATGTTCTTAGCTTGCCTTCATCTTTTATATCTGATGGGAGTATTAAAATCTTCTACCTCTCAGATGATACCGATGAAGCCTTGTGATAAATAAATAAATAAGCCTGGCAGGAGCCCTCTCATGCATTGAAAGAGAATACCAACCGCTTTGTCGCTTTGTTTGAAAGGTAGGTAATAAATGTCCTATCCCTGTACACCATTTCTCATTTGAGAAATCTTGGTGACTTCAGCGGATTTAATGGAGTAAGGAAGGACTTGGGGAGTAAGAGCGAAAAATTTATTATAAGACTTAATGATACAGTATCACTCAAATATTTTTTTTAGTGGCGATTTATTTTTACAGCAGGAAAACCAGAGAAATCAGATCCCTTTTGAGCAATCTGTCCCCTTGATTTTACTTGTTCAGTACCTGTCCAGCTTGTAGCTGTCATTTTTTCTTCTCCTCCCTGCTCCACTCTGCTCAGTCTCAGAATACGCAGAAACACCCTCATTCAGCCACAAACCTTTGCACTGAGCTTTCTTCGTGGTTCCTGGGAAGGCTGTGTGTAGCAGGGTTCCAGCTCTGCAGCCCGTATGCCAGACATAAAGGGCAGGCGTAGAGAAGGTCTAAGGATGGTTCTAGGAAGGGAGGTTTGCAAGAAGGACGGTGGGTTCCTCATGAAGAAGCAGTGTGTGTCTTGCTCGCAGAAAATATTGCTGGTTCCTTCCCAACATGGGGGTCTTGAAGACTCTGAGGAGCAAGTAAAACAGAAATAGATTTCTCCTAAATAGATTTTTCCATCTGAAGCAGTGGGGGGAAAAGAAGCTGTTTTGTTACTTGATTTGCTGACTGGTGGAGAACTAGTTATTTAGATATGACTTCTTTGTGATTATCATTTATACCTGTAAACCTAATTAACTGTTAGAGTGCCTAGAGCTTTTAGTGTGGGCATTTAATAAATTTAATCAGCACTGGGTCCAGAAAGATCTGGTTAATGAGCCATAATAAATGGCATAATGTACCGTAAGTGTGTTAGAAATTCCAACATGCTGAATATACTGGATTTTTGCAACTCTTAGCTCAAGTTCATGACACGTGCGCTGACTTCAGTGGGACTATTAATTTTCAGTGGTGAAAATTCAGTGAGAATCTGACCTGCTGTCATTCCACGTAGTTAAGCGTGGCTGGCAAAACTTATGAAAACAAACTGTAGTCTTTGTAGGGATAGTTATTTCTGTCCTGTTTCCCATTTTAAGTCTTAAGGTTAAAAAAAAAATACCTTTTAATGGTCAGATTAGTCATGCTGAATGTTGCTAATGCTTTATTAATTCCCAAAAGATGCGTTCTGTAACCAGAGATGTCAAAACTCCGGTCACATGTCTTAAAAACATAAAAAGTGTGCTGGAATCTCTGGGGACTTCTGTGCTCTTTATTAATACATTGTACTGTTCCTAGAGTAATAAAATGGGACCCCTTGAGCTACATTCTGCCTTCAATTACACCATTACAGCCATTGACGTCAGTAGGTTTCCACACGTGTAAGGATGGGTAGGATTTAGCCCTTTATGTCTTAGCAAAAATGTCTGTTGTTGTAACTGTGTTCTCTGAACGAGGGGATCAGCTGCTCCACATGAGGGGCTGCTTTTACTCTAGGGCTTTTTACTTTCTTGATGGACAAAATGACTGTTTTTCAATCTTATTAGCTGCAGTAATCCTCCTCATTCTGGCCCCCCCAGCATCAGTATGGCAGGTTAACGTGGCTTCGAACATGCTAGTCTGCATCTTAACAAGTCTTCAGGGGGCTTTCAATTGTGTTACATTAATGGATTGAACCAGTGTAATTGAAAACCACCCTAATTTTGCCTGTCAAGGCATGGTCTGGAAGGTTGTTTTCCTGTTGCTCCCCAGTGTTTTCTCAGAGAATGAAAGACCTAGAGGGAGAGGTGGCCAAACTGTAGTCCTGTACCACTGTGGATCCTTTTTTTCTGCTTCTGCACCTCTCAAAATCACTGGCAGTGTTGTTGCTTTCTGTGAGTTGAAGCCTGACCTGGAGGGGACTGGGGATCTTGGGGATGTGGGTCTCAGCCTTGCATCGTCATAGCTTTCCCCCTCCTAGCTCTAAGTAGAGGCCAAGTGACGTTACCGGTGTCACTAACGCTTCAGTGGCAGAGAGAGAGTCCAAGTCTCACTGCTACCCTGGGGATACTGTGGGCTTTTGTTCTGGTTTGTGCTGTGGCATTTTTTATGAAGTACTTACATAGCAGCTGCACCCTGCTAAGCTTTACAAAGAGAGTGAGGACATAAGGGCCTCGTTAATCTTCAGTTTTAATTCTCAGCAGATATTACAGACTGGGGGCTCATTGCAGTGGGGAGCTGTTGAACAGTTGAGAGGTGTGTGACTGTGGATTTCTGTGCAGGTAGTGGTTCAAAACAGACCAGGCACTGGCCAAAAAGGGAAGGTGTAGAGAAAGGACGACAAAGCTCACAGGAAGTGGAATTTGTGGGAAGGCTGGCTGGTGCAGGAGCTCACAAGGAGACCACCAGGCTGTGGAGTGTCCTTGTCCCGTGGCAGAAGAAAGCAGGCTCCCACCTGTCGCAGTAAATGGCGGCGCTTTGCCTCAAACTTACTGGGACAAGACAGGTTGGGGGGGAACACTTTGTCCCTGTGCAAAGGAATTGCATCTGTGACACCGCTGACCTGTGCTTCGTGTCACCGGTCCTGTGTGGTCCATGACTGCTTGCTTGCAGCTTTGCCCTGGCTCAGCGCTGCCCAGAGAGCAGGACCGGCCGGTCCCTGAGGGTACCTCCTGCAGGCCGTGAAAAAAGTTGAGTTGTCCCAGTGGGTGCAGGTGACTCCCAAGCGTGGCTGTCCCTTGCTTGGGGACAGGCTTCTCCCCCCCCTCCCCGGCCCCAGCGCTGACGTCCCTTTGTCTCTCACAAAACGCCTTTCCATCCCCTCATGGTGTGTGACCTGGCGGCCTTCGAGTGACCTCTGGCAAAGGCCAGTACGGCTCGGGGGCCTTTGTGTGCCACCAGTGCTGTCTGTGGCCCTGTGGGGTGCCCACCCCCATCACCTCAGGGTCCCCGTCACCTCAGAGCCCCCCGTGGGTCCCCCCCGTCACCTCAGGGGCCCTGTGGGGCATCTCCCACCCCACACAGCCACCTCGGGGGCCCCGCGGGAACGCGCCACCTCCCGCGCTGCCCCTTTAAGAGTCTCTTTGTCTCCTAAACATCCTTATTTACCCTCCTGTGACTCAACCGAACTTCAGCCTGGGATTCACAAAGCCCGGTACGTCACCGTCCGGGGCCGGGCCCGGGCAGTCCCCGCCCCTCGGCGCTGCCCTCCCGCTACTCGAGCGTAAGCCATTGAAGAGCTCTCCCTAGCGGCTACGTAGAGTTCGTAAGCTCCGCCAGAACTCTGTCTGCCGCGGCGTGGGCTGCGCAAACGACGTCCGTCGGCGCTCCAGCCTCGCCGTTAGCGCCGTGCTCCGCTCTACGGAATTGGCGTAAGCACCGGCGCTGGATGGGGAGCGGGGCGAGGGGGAAGGCGAGAGCGTTGTGTGGCGTGCTCTCCAGCCAACGGCGGGGCGGGGCGGGGCGCGGCGGGCGGCCAATGGGCGGGGAGAGGGCGTGGCCGGCGGCGGTTGGGGTGTCTCGCGCTGGGTGACAGCTCGCGCGTGCTGAT